CTGACACTGTCCTGTGAGGAGCAAGCAGGTCACAACTTCTGGCCTGCTGCCCCCGGCCCCCGGGGAGGGGAGGCGGACAGAGGGGGCAGGGCCTCTCCTGTGCACTGGAGTCCCTCGGCGACTCCTGACCTGGGCCGGCGGGCACGGGTGGTGTCCCTGGTGTTGGGGCACCGTGTGTGGGGCGGGGCGGAAGCAGGCGCTCGCTTTCAGGAGGCCGCCCCGCCGTGACCCCGTGCGTCCTGGATGCAGGTGACTCCACTGTTTCATCGTGAGGGACTTGATGTGCTGGTTCAGCGGCCAGGCTCTGAGACGCCCTGCTGCGTGCGCAGTGACGGGCTGGCCGGCAGACCTGCCCAGGGGCTGGCCGTGCAGACCGGCCGCGTCCAGGCCCACCCGGAAAGCCCCGCAGTGCAGGGGTGTTGGTGCCCACCCCAGGGCCCGTGCTGCGAGGGGCCACCCCTCCTCCGTCAGCCCAGCCCCTCTTTCCCAGGTGGGAGCATCTCAGTGCGGCGCCCCGCCCCCACAGGCACAGGTCAGCTGCTGCCTGTCCAGGGTGGGCTGGGTCCCTCCAGGACGGCCTTGGCCACTGGAGGCAGATGTCCATGGTGGGTGCCCTCGAGTTCTGCAAGGTGTTCGAAGCACCCAGATTGGGCCTGTGGCCCCAGGGCCAGGGGGCAGGAGCTCATGGTGTTTGGGGCCTCGCCCTGTGCCTGCCCCCAGGCCCTGTCCAGGAAGGGTTGGCTTCGTGGGCCTGCAGCAGCGTCCCAGGGCGAGCTGCTGGGGTTTCCCGGGGCAACCCGCGGACAGGGCGCTGTGGCCCCAGGCTGGGCCTCGCTCCTGTATCTTGGGGTGTGATGACCTTTCCCCAGGGTTCCCGTGGCACCGCCCCACGGTCACTTTTGTGTGGCTGAAGCATCTCGACAGTGGCAGTCGTGGTAGCTGGCAGTGGAGCGACTTTGGGCGCCCACGGCCTTGGCCTCAGTCCAGCTGGAGGGACCCTGAGCGACTGACTCAGTGCGTCGCACCCTCAGGGGCTGGGCAGCCGGGCGGGCAGCGGGGGCGGAACTGGGAGGGCAGGCCTGTGCCTCACTGGGGCCCCCTCCCCCTCCCCACAGCAGCGCTGCCCAGGGCTTCCTGCCTCCCTGCAGCCTCCCCTCACCGTGGTGCCCTGTGGCCTGGCTGCAGGGGCCTGGCCTTTGGACAGTGAGCTCAGCTGAGTCACTGTCCTGTTCCCTGAAGGATGGGGGCCGGAGCCTGCCCCCCACCCCGGGCCCCGTCCTAGCCCCAACACGGGGCCTGGAGCTGAGGCCACTGCATCCAGCCTCGCTGGTCCGTTGCTCCCCAACCTGGGGCCTGGGGGCCTTGTCCTGGGGGGCGGCTTCCCTGGCACCAGCACTTCCTCTGCTGCCCCAGACGGGACCTGGGCAGAACAGCACAGATGCTCCCATCAGGCCTCGGGGGCGGTGCCCTGGCAAGAGCCAGGCGCCAGCCTGAGTCAGGAGGCCGGAGGAGGCGGGCAGCCCCTGCGGGTGGCCTCGGAAACAGCTCAGTAGGAGGTTTCCTTGGGAGCGGACGCTGTTCCTGTGACCACGGTCTGGCAGCGTGGGGCAGTGTGGGGCCGTTCCGGGCACCGGCGCCCATCAGCATCCGCCCGGCCCTCCTGCCTGGCCCTGCTGTGGCTTCCGCCTGCCTGCCTGCCAGCACTCCTGCAGCCTTTGTCCAGCTGCCCCGCCCTCTTCCTCGCCTGGCTCCACTGTGGCCCCAGCCCGCCCTTGCCAGGGGACTGCGTGGGTGAGAAGTGAGGGCACAGCCTGGCCCGGGCGCACGAACTGGAACTGCTGGGCGGAGGTGGGGGCACGGCCTGGGCCCAGGGCCCAGGGAGCCTGGGGTCTGGCTGGCAGCCGAGTGCCCCGGGTGGTCTCCCAGCAGTTGGGAACGGGCCGGGGACTCCAGTGTGGCTGGCCCGGTGGGGTACCAGGCAGCAGCAGGGGACAGGTCCTGGTGTTTCCCGTCCCGGTAGCAGCCTCCGCTGGGCAGCGCAGGCCCAGAGGTGGGCTCTGCGTGCCAGGCACAGCGAAGCGACAGGGCAGGTCAGGGTGCCAGTGCGCTGGGACCCTGCCTGCCACACCCGCTGGACGTGGCTGGGTGCCATCCATTGCTGCCCGCTCTGCCTTTGCCTGTCCCTCCCAACTGCCCTGCCTACGGCCAGGCACACTGTGGGCCTCTCGGGCTGCACGGGTCCCCGGTTCTGCCCACCGGCTCTGTCACTCCCTCCAGCTGGCCTGGCCTCTCCTTTGCCCTTGCTGCCCCTCCCATCTTCCCGGGGCTGCCCCTGGCCCTCTGCCATCAGACCCGGCTCGCTGCTCCCCCTTCCTGCTGCTCGGGTCCCTCGGCTTCTGGGGGCTCCCACCGCAGCCGCAGGTCTCTGCAAGCAAGCTCCTGTTGGAGCCCTCGTCCCGTGTCTTCCAGCTGACTCCTGACAACGCGCAGATCCCCGGGGCTGCGGCCCGGCGTGCAGTGGGTGTACTGGCTGTGTCTATGGAATTGGGCCCCGTCTGCCTGGGGGCCCTCCTGACCCCAGGGCGATGCTGGTGGCTCTCCAGGCCGCCTTCCTGAGGGCTGAGGGGGCTGCCGGGTCCCCACAGGGGGATGTCGCCCGCTCGAGGAGACACCCGCCGTGATTCCACACAATCTTTCCAGATGGCAGCCTCCCTGGAGTTTACAAATGACCTTTCACTACTTAAAATTACACACCCAACAAGTTCAGAAAGAATAAATGAGTTCTATGCAATTAATCAAGAAGAAGCCTTTATTCGTTGCTGCTCTGCATCAGCACATGCCTCGTGCACACAGCCACACATGTCACCTACACGCCTCACATGCTCACATATGTGCTCATGCCCACAGGTACCTGCACGGGTACAGGTGGTGGCACACTGCAGGGCACGGCTTCCCCATCACGGCCCCGTGCCCCGTGGGGAACGGAGCCGGGAGAGGGGACCGGCTGCTGCGCCCTCTTCCCTGCCTGCGCCGTGGTTCCCGTGCGCCGTGTTTCACGGGAGCCCCAGCAGCGCCGCCCACAGCCCTTCGCTGGCACCATCTTACCTCCTTCACACTGAGGGGCTGTCGGCTCACCTTCCTCAGCGGGTGTCTCTGGAACCTTCTGCCGGTCCCGCTCTGCCGCTCGCCCCCTGGTCTGGGTGGGGCCTCTGCCCTGGTCCTTTGCCCGGCCCCTGCATTGGGTGGTGCTGCCTGCCGTGTCCTAGGTGGGCCCTGTGGGGGGCGCGTCCTGAGTGCTCTCCTGGCAGGGGTGCGGAGGGACCGTTCTGTGTCACTCCGCCCTGCCCGCCAGCCCCCTGCACAGCGGAGCCGGTTCCTTGGGCGCCGTCTGCATCCTCAGGTCCCGAAGTTGTGTTGGCTCGAGGCCGGGTCACGCCCGCCGCCTGCCCGTGGCCGTGAGTTTCCCGGCTCCCGCCGAGCTCAGGGCGTCCAGTGCTGGGTGTTCCTCTTGAGTCCTGTCGCTGTACAGAGGAGCCTGGCCAAGCCCGGGGGTCCCTGCTGTCCCCTCTCTGTCTGCTGTCCCAGGGCGTGTCTCCCACTTACCTTCCACCTTTGCACCACACTCTGCCCGGAGGGTTGGCTCCTCAGCACTCCTCCATGTTCCCTGAGAGGCCCTTCCTGGGGATCCCATCAGATTCTCCACGTGCATGGGCTCTGAGGACCCCTGGGGGTCCCCGAGCCCCTCCCTCGGCCAGCTCCCTGCGGTGGCCCGGGCTCCTCGGAGGCTCCGCCTCGGACCTGCGTGTGGGAGGCAGGGTCGGGAAGGCAGTCCGTCTGCTCAGCCCGCCTGGGGCCTCGCCAGCTGGGAGACACTTGCTGTCTTCCCTGCGTGGCTGGTGCGGGGAGGTGGGGGTTTGTTTGGCGGAGAGTGTTACTTATGTGTACAGGTGAGGGGCGTACACGGTCACTTTCTAAATGATCAAATGTTCTTTACAAACTTCGTTTTGGTTTCTGACACAGCAAGTGGCGATGGCCAGGATCTGCGCAAACTGTGCCTGTCTGGGGTCCTTGGTGAGTCCTAGCCGGGGACTCGGATGTCGGGGTCCTGCCCTGGACGGCCGGGTGGCACGGGCTGCATGGGGCGCAGAGTGGGGCCGGGCCTCTCCCTGCCTCTGTGCTGCCCCCTCTGGCCACAGGCCTGCCCTCTGCGGGGGTGTTGTGAGGGGCTGAGCGGCGGCTGGGAAGCGCTGGGAGCCCAGTCCAGCCTGTGCCGAGCTCTGCCTGCCCCATCCAGGTTGCCAGCATGTGGCAGATCAGACTGGCGCCGGGAAGGCCGTCCACGCACAAGGTCACGGGCCTGGGGGTCCGCATGGTGTGGTCACAGGCACGCTAAGAATACTGGTGACATGGGAGGGCCCCAGGTGGCAGTTCCCACGCTGGGGACGGCCCCTCCACCACCCAAGCAGCGGTTCCCAGGAGTGCAGACCGGCGGTCACAGCCCGCAGCGAGCTCGGGTCTGTGTGTCCCCTGGTTCTGAGGGCTGGTGCACCGTCTTCTTCCTTCTCATAGCAGCCCTGAGGGGCCGGCCTCCTGTCCCCTCACTGGCAGAGGGGACCAGGGCCTGGAGAGGGCCAGTGCTGGTCCAGGCTGCTAGGGTAGTGCCCTTCCCCTGCCCGCCTGCTGTCCTGGGCCGCTCAGGCGTCCGGAGCTGGAGACCGAGGGTTGACAGGCGGGTGAGCCCATGGGTCCCAGCCTGGTGCAGGGCTCAGCCCTGGCAGCGCCGTGGGGGCCCCATGGTCCCAGGACCGGGTGGGCAGGTGGGCTCACTCGGGAGAGCAGGGGGGCCGGGGCCACCATGGCCTTTGCAGGAGGGCTGTTCTCAGGGTCTGCACACGGGATGCCGGACAGGAGGCCACCCGGCCGGGGTTTGTGGGCGGAGGCGGCAGCGTCGGGCTTGGGCCCTGAGCACTAACCTCTGCCCGGTTTCTGTGTTTCTGCAGCTCCGCGGGAAGGCGGCCCTGCCCTCTGTGAGAAGATGTCATATGGGTCCATCGCCGGCAGTGGCAGGCTGGGGAGCCACGGCCCTTTCGGGGGACCCTCCAGACAAGGCTACCAGCCACTTGGTAATGACAGTGGCCGGCTGTGTGGGCGGGGGTGGGGGGCAGTGGGCAGGTCTCTGCTGTGTCATGTCTTGTCGTGTTGGTGGCCGTGCACGGTTCTGTCTCTTTGAACGCTGCTGCCTGTGACCACGGTGGCACTGGCCCGGTGGGGTGGGCTGTGGTGCTTGACCTGGCCAGCCCTTTTCTTCCTGGCTTGGCTGGCCCGGATCTTGCTTCAGGGGCCCACATGGCTTCATTCTGTGGCCGTCTGTGCTCGAGTTGCCAGTGTGTGTGGCTCCCAGGAGGAGCAGGTGATGGGGACAGAAGTGCCCTTTCCTTTCCCTGCTCCACGTGTTGGTGATGCAAGTGCCTTGTGGCATCTGTCCTGGTCCACCTGCGAGGGTGGTCGTGGTCATCTGCTGGGGCCCTCTCACTGGGCCTTGCTGAGGGCCCGTGGGTGCCTCGGCCCAGCCGGCAGGGGGTGGGGACATGTGCCCAGCACCCTCCCTCCGCTCCCGCCCGTGTCAGCGCCTGTGCGGTGGCTGCGTGGGCGTGGGCCAGTCTCCCCGGGTAAAGCTCCTGCAGCTGATGGGACGGACTGGCATCTGCTGTTTGTCGGGTGCGTGGGCCTCTCCCCGCGTCAGTTCTGCAGTTCCCCGAGTCCGTCTGGTTCTCAGTGACTTGCCCGCTGTCCCATGTGTCCAGGGGTGAGGGCCGTGTCCGGCGGCTGTAAGCATCCCTCCCGGTGGGCTTGCTCTGCCGAGGGTGCCTGCCGGGGACAGAGGCTCGTTAGTGGCGCCGCTGGGGGACCAGTCAGTGCTGCCTGGCGCTCACCTCCCTGCCCCAGGGCGGGCGCCTCCGCTGTCGCTTCTCTCTGTCGGCCTTCAGGGCGTGTCCCTGTGGGGCGAGATCCCTTCGTAGATGGCGGGTGGGTCCCACCGAGTCCCAGAGCACCGCACCATGGCCCACGGGAGCCACACGGCCGGTGCGTCCGCGCGCCTCGTGCCGCACTCCCTGGTTCTCCTCCGACCTTGCGGCAGCTTCCCCAAGTCTGAGCCTCGAAGGCAGGTTCTCCTGCGGAGCCTGTGGGGTTTGCCCCCTGTGCCCGCCGTTCCCCGGGCACTCTCTCTCTGGGCACCTCCCCCGAAGGTCCAGGGCCACTCGATTCAGGAGAGCAGCTCTGGTGGCCCCTCCTCAGGTGTCTGGGGACTGTGGGGCAGCCAGGGCTCGGGTTTCCGGTGACCGGATGCTGGTGTGGCGAGGCCTTTGGGCAGCAGCGTGGGCCTCCAGCCTGGTCCGCGGCCGCCCAGCCCCCACAGGAGAGCTCCTTGGGGCTCCGAGAAGGGGGTGCCATCACCGGGGGTGGGTTCCCGCACTCCTTTTTGCCTACCGTCATGGGGTCAGCAGTTCCTGGGCCAGGGTTCGGGCCGGGAAGTGTCTGCCTTTGGGGCCCTGGCCCTGCGTGTGGGGAGGAGGCCCTTCCCGAAGGCTCCGCAGCGGGCCCTGCAGAGGGACGGGAGCCGCAGGGCCTGCCCTCGGGGGGACGGGCCCTTGCCAGGGCTGAAGGGCGGGCGCTCAGACCTGGGGAGACGTGTGGGCGTGGGGCCTGGTCCTGGGCGCATGCACCTGCTGTGACTGCCCAGGGCTGTTCTCACCCGGGACCCAGAAACTGCTTGGGGCTGTTCTCTGTGGCGTGGGAACTGCCACCCCCAGATAAGCTGGCCCAGTGTCTGTGCTTCCTGCCCGTCCTGGGGCAGGGGCAGGCCCTTGGGAGCCGTGGGCCCAGAAGCAGGGGCGTGGAAGACAGGGCCTCTGGGCCCAGCTCCACCCCCCGGGGGCCTTCAGCAGTCCTGTCCCCATCACGCTGGGCTGCAGTGTCTCCCAGAGGACACACAGCAGCGGCTGCACAGCTGTCCCCACTGTCCCTGCTCTGGGGGAGACGCAGGACCTGGAGCTCCTGCCAGCCTCGGCGTGGGCGGGAGGGCGTGCACGCCAGCCAGCCAGCCCTCAGCTCCTGGGCACTTTTCCAGTAACAGGCCGCCTCTGGAAGCCCTGGGACAGCAGAGCCCAGGACGGCCTGGCCACCACCACCGACACCTGGTGACGTGATTGAAAGTCTTCTCGGGTCCAGAGATGTTAGAACGCACTTCGTAGAGTTCCAGCACATTTCAGCAAAACGTGCCCAGGAAGTGTTTGGGAAGAGATGACCGTCATCAAAGAGAAGACAGAGTTCTCCCGGGGGCCCAGCCCTGCCCCCGGACGTGCCCCTGCCCCACAGTCACGCCTCACTCCGCAGCGGGCATCAGGAGGCACTGGCTTCCGTTTCACTTTTGTTTCCAATGTGGCATGGTTTGTAAAAGAACCGAGAGACCCAGCCCGTCCCGGGTGTGCTGGTGGCTTCAGATGGCCACGTGTGTCGGCAAAGCCTTGTTCTCCATTCTCACGTGTCACTGTCACAGGGGCACTGTCCGCCACCGACAGGCAGCGTCTGTCTCAGGCAGCCTGGCCTGTGGGCGGCACCCGAGTGCCCTGCTCTAAGGGGCTTTGTCCTGCGGTGGGGTCACCTTTCAGAAGGGTCTGTGACGCAGAGAACTCTCAGAATGTCGTGACATTTTGAATTCCCCACTGTCTCCCAGGGTCGAGGGACATTCTGGAGGGTGTGGCATTCAGGGAAGGCTTCCTGGAGGAGGTGGGCCTGAGCGGCGCCTCTGTGTGTGGCTGTTGGGAGGACACGAGGTGCCGCTGTTCTGCACGGGGCCCTTGCCCTGCCAGCGGTGCCCTGAGCCGCCCTGGACGGGCTGGGCGGAGCCGTGACAGTCACCCGCTGTCTGCAAAGCGTGGCAGATGTTGGACGGAGTGTGGGATCCGCCACATCCCCTGCCCGTTGCCAGAGAGCAGCCTGCGGGACTCCTGTGTGGGCAAGGACGGGGAAGGCGACCTGGGGCTGGCGGGCACGTCCACAGGCCGAGGGCCAGGGAGCGGGGCTCTTCCACGGGGTGCTGGGTCTGGGGTCCCCGGGAAGGCCACCAGAGCACAGAGGAGTGAGGAGGGAGGGCCCGTGGCGGGACAGCCTCCCTCTCCCCACAGACGGTCAGGGTGGGGCACCCGGGTTTCTTTCGCTGCCGGGGTGACACGCGGTTTCTGAAACGGTGCTGACCCTGCGTCGTCCCTGACACCCCTCTGTCCTGCCCCCGCCCCCGTCCTGTGCTGGCCCGCCCACCCCGTGCAGTGACGTGCTCCTGCCGACACTCCGAGCTGCTCTCCTGACCCGGGTCGGGCCTATGGCCAGATGGCCCGGCTGTGGCTGGTGGGGTGCTTGGTCCCGGCGGCACTCAGGGCCACAGCGACCTGGCACTGAGGGAGGATGAGGGCCTCGTGGTCTCCACAGTGTCCCCACACTCGGGCACCAGGTTTGTGTGCGTGGAACCCGCCCACGAAGGTCACAGCACCACGCCACCTGGGACTGGCTGGGAGCCTGGGTCTGCAGCAGGTCGCGTCGGCGCCCTCAGGACGTGGCCGGGTCGTGCTCGTGCCCAGCCAGGGCGTGTGAGGACCGGGGCGTGTGGGTGCTGCAGAACCCACAGAGCCCAGGCGGGCAGCCCCGGGCTCGCAGGCCGCCCTCATGCGGGGCGGTGTTTGGGGCTGGCTGTGTCCACTCCACTGTGTCCGTGGGACAGCTGCCCCCCTCGGCAGTGGGAGCGGGGTGGGGGTAGCAGGGGACACAAGGGGGTGTGTGCACTTCTTCAGGCCTCACTGGCCCCGGGTGAGGGCTGGAGCTGGGTCTCAAGGGCTTTTCTAATTCCCCCCTGGGCTTTGACCTTGAGACGGGGCCGGACTTCAGAAGAAAGCATTAGCCACACGTGTGTCTGGCCTGCAGCCAGCCTGTCCTGTCCCCTCCTCTGCCGCCAGCCCACGTGGGACCTGCTGCCACCCCGGGCAGAGCAGCGAGTGGCTGTTGTTCTCAGGGCCTGGCCTGGCTGTGTCCCTTCCAGCCAGTGTCACGTGTGGGAGCCTGTGTCCCTCAGCCTTCGTGCAGGGGGACAGCAGGGGCTGCGGGGCCGCTCCGCACTGGCCCAGGCACGGCCCCGGCCCGTGGCTCTTGTCCAGACATGACCCGTCTTCACGCAGGGTCACCTGTGGTGGAGTCAGCCTTCCCGGGTCCCTGAGTTCGAGGGACGGCCACAGAGGGGCCCCACCTGGGCTGTGCACCCCGGGAACGCCTGTTGGGGGCCCTGGCAGGCGGCTGTTGCTGCTGCAGCTGCCGTCAGGACCGGCGAAGTGTGGGGTGGTGCACAGTGCGGGGCCTGCGGCCTGACGCCGTCATCACCAGGGCTGGACGTCTCAACTCCGGGGTCTGTGGCAGCAGATGAGGCGGTGGCCGCGGTGCCACATGGGAGCGCGCGGTCGTGCGGCTGAGTGGAGGCCGGCTCTTCCCTGCGGTCCTTTCAGAAGAAGCCCCACTATCTCTGTGCCCGGGAGGCACGGGCGGGGCAGCCTGGGAAGAGCTGGGGCGAGGGCTGCCGACTCAGCTCTGGTTCACGGAGCGCAGGTGGGGTTGGTCAAGGGCGAAGGTGAGTCCCCACATGGCTTGTCCTCTTCCCTTTCCGGGGAGTGTCGGGGGCAGTGGAAAATGGGGCTCCCCTCTCTGCCCTCCTCCCGGGGGTGCTGCTCTGTCGGGAGACTCAGGGAGGGGTGCCCAACCGCACTGCCCCCCGCTGAGTGGAGGGAAGGGCGTCGGGGCTCGGCCCACTGCCCGCACCCCTCCTTGGGCTCACGGGCTCCCCCGCCCAGCCCCACCGCTTGTTAGCTTCTGGTGGCGGCTAGGCGGGCGTCCCCGTGGAGGGTCCCTGTCAGGGAGGCCACGGCTCTGACGTGTCCTCAGCCCGCGGTCCAGGGCTGGCTGAGACTGTGGCGCATGTCAGTAGCGTGTCCCTGACCGCTCAGGAGGGGACGTCCACAGCCTCGTCCCGTCCACGCTGCCTCGTCATCTGTGGAAGGTTTCTGTGTGGACAGACGTCCTTTTCATGGCGGGGCTTTGACAAGTACCCGAGTCAGGTTGCAGGTTGTGAACTGAAAGTGTAGCCGTTTAGGAAGAAGGGAAACTCTTCCAAAGTGGTGGTGCCCGGTCGGCCCCGCCCCACGTGGGTGGGCTGTAGGCTCTGCCCCTGCCTGTGCTCACTGGGGCGGGGGGCGGCCCTTGTGGCCGTGGGTGCCCCGCCGCCCCGAGGGTGCTGTGCACGGGGACCCTGACGCCGAGCGCTGTGTGCTGAGCTGCCACCGTGCGTCCACCCGTTGCGTGTTTGTGCCGCCCGTTCTGGGTGTGGGGTGCCTGCTCTGATGCGCTGCGGCCTCAGCTGCCTCTCTCCGGCTCTGCTGCCTCTGAGCTGCACGGCTCGTCTCTTCGGAAGGTCAGAAGCAGTGGGTTTTGATGTTATTTTCTTCGGTGTTTTGATCCTTCGGTGTCCAGAGTGTTGCAGTTCTAGCTTCTGTGTTTCAGTGTGACCGGCATGGTGTCGAGTTGGGGTAGTTTTGGGCTGCGATTCGGGGCACCCAGTTGCTCTGCCTCAGGCTGGAGACCGCCCTGTCCCCTTGAATTCTGTCGCCTTTCTGTCTGCAGCCAGGCTGTGGTGTCCGGGGCCGCCGGGTCCCCGGGGCCCGTGTGCCTCCTTCTGCCCTTCAGCGTTCGGCCAAGTTCCCCGCTGCCCTCGGAGCCTGGTGTGTCCGCCTCGGGGAGATTTCACACCGCAGTCCCGAGAAGGCCGCGCTGCTCCCCACGCGTCTGTGCCTTCCCGAGGGTGGCCGTGGTCCTTCGCGTCTCTGAGCGGCTCCGCGGCCCCCGCCGTGTTGTCTGTGGGCTGCCAGCTCGGGGGTGGGAGCTGCTCCTTCGTTCCCGAGGTGGCTGGTTTGTGTCTCCGCTGTTCTGTTCTTGATTAGCCTGCCTGTAAGTCTATCAGTTCTATTGATTGTGTCAAAAAAGCGGACTTGATCTCATTGCTTTTGTCCTATCTAATGTCGATGTGATTGATTTCTGCTCGTCTGATACTCACTCCCCGCGCCTCCCTTGGGGCCGATCCGCTCTTGTCAGATGGCAGACCGCGGGCTTTCTCGCGGGCGTCCTGGTTGCTGTACACCCCCCCCCGCACCGCCCGGCTCTGGCAGGTCCACACGCCCTGTGTCGTCACTGGTTAAAACTGTTGCTAGCTTTGCCATTTCTCTTTTTGCTGACGGTTGTTTGGAAACACGCCGTTTGATTTGCACATAACGGAATTTCCGGACAGCTTTCTGTTCCCTGTTTCCAGGTTAAGCCTATTACGGTCAGAAAGTGTCTGTCTGTGTGTCTCTTGCTGCCTCACAGACAGGCTTTGGGTCTGAGCTGCCCCCCCCCCCCCCCCGCCCACGGCCTGGCTGCGGGCCTCGGGCCCTGGGTGGGGCGTGCATCCCGCTGGTGGTCAGGGTCCCTGCGGACGCTGGTCAGGGAGCCCGTGGGCGCTGCTGTCGGCCTGCGCACCCTGATTGCCAACCTGTTCCGCCGACCACAGCAGGATGACAGCTGGGGGGGGACTGTGGGCTTGTTCACCTCTCTTCTTGGCTCCATTCTGCTTCTCATTTTTCCTCCTGAGGTCTGGGGGGTGCGCACGTTTCGGGGCATTTGTCGTCCTCACCCGTCCAGCCCGTTAGTGTAGTGACGGTGTCCCTTCGCTCCGCTGTCACGGGCGTGGCTGCCCTGCCGTCTCTCGTCCCGGCGCCGTGATGTGTTTCCAGGTCCTTCACTGATGGGTGCCGTCTGCTTCCCTACGTGGAGTGGGCTTCCCGTGCCCGCTGTGTGGTGAGTTTGCTCCTGACCTTCTCTGCTCTGGTCTGAAAGGTTACAGCTGTCCCCCCGCCAGGACTTTGGGGATGATGCGGGCGGTCTGCAGCCTGCACGCGGCGCCACTGGCCGCCTGTGGACAGTGCCGGGCGACTGGCTTTCAGGTCGCTGGTCCCGAGGGTGAACGCCACTGTTTCTGGGTTTGAGCCTCCCGCCTTGACGCTCCCGTCTGTGCTTCCCTGTGCTCCCCCCCCCTGCGTCCGCATGTGTGTTTGCGTGCCTAGTGCCTCTGCTGTGTGTGGCGTGCTCAGCTGTCCACGGCCTGCCTGCAGAAGGGTCGTCATGGCGCGTGTCACCGGCAGACCAGGGCCTGCACACCCTGACGATGCTGCTCGAACGCTCAGCTGTCCCTTGGATGATACTCGGGTCAGGGAGGAGGCAGAGGCCACTTCTGCTGGCCCAGGACCCCAGCCGAGTGTCCCGCTCTTTCCCTGCACTTTTCGGAGGTGGCGCCGCACCGCCTTCGCTCCAACGGGCTCTGCCGTTGCTCTGCCGGGGGTGGCGCAGGCCTCTGGGCCCCTCTGCCGTTGCTACGGGTTCTGCAGTTCCGACTCTGTTGTGTCCCCGGCGTTTTCTTTTTCATGAGCGTGTGCTGGGACTTGCTGAGATTCTGGGGACTCTCGGCGTGGAGTCACATAACGCCAGGGTTCTTCAGGCCCACGTCCCTTGACACTGTGCCGGCCCCGCTTTGGCGCCCTGCCCGTGTGACTGGGCTGCTGGACCAGCCTGCAGCTCTGTTTCCCTTGCCGCCTTGTCCCCTGCATCCGTTTGTCTGGTGCCCGGTCCTCCAGTTCTCCCTGCTTCCCTCTCGGCACCCAATCTGCTCCCCACCCCACGCCCTCCTGTGTCTCTCAGAAACCCCACGGGCGCTGTGGTCTCACTGGGCGGGTGCGTCCCTCTCTGTGTGTTGTGCCTTGGGCTTGAAACTCCCGCCAACGCTCCTCCTCCCTGCGAGTTCCGTCCACTCTGTGTCCTTGCTGGCCGGGTTTTCTGCTGACCGGTTTTCCTTGTGGTCACGGTCAGGGGTCACTCACCCTGTTTTTCATACGTCTGGTGAGGTGTAATGGTGAGTTTTGTAGTATCTGCTCTCGGTTTGATTGCTTCCCTTTGAGGAGAGTTGAGCTTCGTTCCAGAGGCAGTTCACACCCTTGTGGCACCTTTGACCTCCGCGAGGCTTGTTCTGAAAACCCCGTAGGGCACCTCCCCAGGAGCCTCGGCCCCGGCTCGGATGCAGCTGCTCAGGCGTGGTCCTCCGTGTCCTGGGGGCTTGGCGATCTGCAGGCAGCGGCCAGGGCTTGGCCTCGGGGGCTCAGCCTGTGCTCGCCGGCCAGGGACTGGGCCCGACGTGTCCTCGGAGGGGCACCCCTGCAGCCCCAGAGCCCCGGGCAGCCCCCGACGGCACCGTGCCGTTCAGGGTCCTGGCCAATGGGTGGCGTTTGCGGCTCTGTCGCGCTGTCAGTGCTGGCTCCTCGGGGGCCCCACCTCGTCGGCGCTGCGCCCGTGCGGCCACCTGCGCTCTCGTGCCTCTCGCACAGACCCCCGTGGGCCTGCCCAGGTGCACAGCCCCCGCTGCCCGGCTCCGGTCTCCGTCTCCACTGTGACGCTCTGCCCGCCTGAGGGGCCGGCTGGGGAGGGGGTGGCTGTGGCCTCAGCGCTAGAACTGCCCCATGGACGCACGGCGACTGTGGCCTCCCCTCCCTGTCTCCCCGCAGCCACCCGCGTGGATCCCAGGGACCTGCAGGAGCTGTTCCAGGAGGCGTCAGCCAGTGTCTTCCACATCAACTCCAGTGGTGAGTCTAGCCGCGGCCCCACCCTGACCCTGGGCCGCCGAGGCGACCCTCGGGGTTGATGTGACCCGGTGGTGCTGGTGCCCATGGCCTCCCCAAGCCCAACCACGCTGCCCTGTGGCCCAGGCTCCGGCGTCCCAGGATGGGGTCCGGCAGGTCAGTGTGTCCGGGCTGCCCCCCACAGTGCTGCTCCTGCTCCTGCTGCACTGGCTCCCCCCTCACCCCACCCCCATCCTGCTGGCGTGGCCTGGAGGAGGCCCCCCCGGGAGGGAGAGGGTCAGGGCCTGTCTCAGGCTGTCGGACTGGCGGCTTGCTGGTCACCGAGGCTGGGGCCGGGGGCGAGTGTCCGCCAGGACAGCCCCTGCAAACTTGGGACACGCGGGCAAGGGCGTTGACCATGCCTCGTGGGTGAGGGCGGTGTTTGCTCCAGAGCCCTGAGGTCGGTCGGGGCAGTGAGGGTGCTGACCGGGCAGTGGGGAGGGGAGGGCAGGGCCCCCAGGTGGGGGGCAGGGCCCACGGAGGCAGGTGCCTGGGAGCCCCTGGGCCCCGTGTGGCCGACCCTGTGTGGTTGTGCTGTGCTACCCCCTGGGGTCCTGGCGGGGTCATAACCACACCGACAGGCCCCGGCCTGCCCCTGCTGGGTGTGGGCGCACACCCCGAGTCTGGGTACCACTGGGTGGAGGGGCTGCTGCTCCTGACACCTGCCCCCTTCTCTCTGCAGTGAGCTCCTTGGAGCAGGGCCTCCGGTCCCTGGGGACATCGAGTGACACTCAGCAGCTGCGGGACAGTCTGTGAGTGAGTGCCCGTGCGCAGTGCTCCTGGCGGTGTGCACGGCTGTGCCCTCCGCCCGCCTCTGTGCCACCTGCCCACCCCCCGTGTGGCAGCCACCTGGACTGTGCACGTCCCATGCACCTGTGGGCCCGCTGGCCGCCACCTGGAGCCTGAGGCTGGGTGGAGTGAGGCTTCGGGGCCGACTCCTCCCCTCCCTGGGCTGTCCCCTTGGTGTTCCCTCTGAGGTGCCCAGAGGCCGCCCTGGGTCTGGCCAGGGAGGCTGCTGGTCGGAGGGTTGGCCGCTGACAGAAAGGCCACCCGGGGCCCTGGAGAAGGGAGACCTCTGCAGGGAGCCCGCCTCCCCGGCTGGCACAGCGCGGGGGCAGCTCTGTGTTCGCGCTGCCCTGGGCCTGAGGCTGCATCTGGGCCCGTCCTCTCGGCCACCTCCTAGCTAGGGGGGTCCTGGCTGTCCCTGCCGCTTCTCGGAGCCGGCGCAGGGGGTGGGGGACCAGACGCACTCTGAAGGGTGTGGGCTGCAGCTGAGACCCGGGTCCCTCTCCCAGGCAGCCCGCGTCCTAAGCCTGACCAGGCTCCGGCACCACTGGGTTCCGAGCAGGCTTGAGGAGCCGGGGCTGCACTGGGCCCCGTGCACGGCGTGGGGTTGCCATGAGCGCAAGGGGCAGGGGTTCCCTGTCTCCTCCACTGTTGCCCAGCCTTGCCCCCCCCCCCCACTCTGGGGACCCACAGGTGCCCCTGGTGGGAAGAGACCGTAAAGCCCGTGGCTCTGCTAGACCCACCCCAACGCCCCCGCCCCGACCTTGGCCGTGGGAAACAAAGCCGGTGGTGGCCCCTGGCCGTCGTGTGGGTAACAAGCATCTGACGGCCCGCCCCACAGGCAGGACCCCAGGGGACCAGCACGTGTCCATGTGGTTCTGTGCCCAGCCCCTTTTCCCACCAGGGCACAGTAGATGCCTGACTGCCGTGGTCCCCCACTGGCCCCGTGTCCACGCAGGCACCTGGCTAGACCCCCAGCAGGAGCCCTGTGGTCTGGGAAGTGCCCGGTGCCCCGCTGCACTGAGCTCTCGGCCAGGTGTCCCCGGGCCTGTCTCCCCCTTGACCCCTCCTGCTCTGGGATGGGCGGTTCTGGCAGTGTCCTGCCCGCTGCGTCCTTGTTGGGGCCCACCCCTGCCCTCAGTCCCTCGGATCCTGCCAGCGACCTGGAGGAGCACAGGTAGAGTTATTCCCACTTTCAAGATGAAAACACTGAGGCTCCTGGATGTGTGGCTAAGGCTGGAGCTCTCTGGATGGACGGGCCTGACCCGTCCACCCCCTCCCAGGCTGGGACTAGCTCTTCCGAGTCCGGGGTCCAGAGCTCAGGGCAGCAGAGGGCCTTTTGCAGATTTCACATGTGATTCTGGTTTTTATTTTTGCTTCCTTTTCTCTAAGTGCACGTTGCTCTCTGATTAGGGAAGCAGTGTGCTCACTGTGGCGTTGGGACCCACAGGTGTCCCAGGTGTTCCCGGCGGCCTCTTCTCAAACCCCTTGAGCTTGGCAGACTTGGGCTTATGTGGGTAACATGCCGGCACGTGTGCTGGTTGAGGCTCCGGACGGGGGGTGCGGGGGAAGCTGCCTGGCCCAGTGCCGAGGCCGGGCCGGGCTCTCGTGCCCGGTGCTGAGAGCAGAGCCCTGGGGACAGCCACCGGCAACCTGCGTCTGGGTGGGGGCCTTGAGAGTTGCGTCCCGTGTGGGTCAGGCAGGCGACGTTGTCAGGCCCCGGCCCTCTCGGGTCTCCTGGGCCGCCTTGTCTGGTTGGTGGGAGGATGACGTCACTGACACGGGTCTGCAGAGCAGACCTGGCCCCTGGGTGGTCGCCGACACGGGCTCGGCCCGCAGGGACCCAGTGTCCCCGAGGCAGCACCCTTCCCCAGTCCCACTCTCGTCTGCCTCAGCCTGCAGGTCCAGAAACTCCAACTTTAGTGCCTTCCTGCCCCCATGTACACCCCACCCCCAGCGGGGCGGCCCCTCACCAGGGAGCCGTGGCTTCCCGAGCTGCTGTGACCCCATTTCGTGGGGAAGCTGGTGCGCCTCCTGGACTGTGAGCGTTTTTTAAACGACTGGAAATGAATGTTCGGTTGGTTGCCAGCTCTTTTTTCTCCACACTGGGAGTTGCCAGCTTTTTCATTCTGCCAAGTAAGGGCGTGAAAACCGCACACCCTCTTCACTGTGCTGCCGCTCCCTCGGAGCAAAGAAGGCCGGGTCTGCCCGAGGGCGTCTCCAGCCCCAGGCGAGGACAGCCCTTCCTGCGTCCGGGGTGGAGCTTGCGGGCCTCCTCCTCGCGGCAGCTGCCCCATCAGCGCAGCTCGGGGACCTGCTGGGCCCCCTGCACAGGCGTCTGGACAGGCCCAAGTTGCTTGGTTGGTGGTCTCTCCCCAGTCGGGCCCTGTGGCAGCTGCCGGACTGCATGTCTGGGTCCTGGGCCACGTGCTGCTGGCGGTCAGAAGCCCAGGATCCCCACGGGCAGTCGCCTGTGGGCAGCGCCCTGTGTCCTCAGTACTGTGATGGTGCTGCCAGGAGACCCGCTTTGAGGTACGAGGGGCCCCACCCCGGGCACAGCAGGGGTGCCGGGTCCCGGCTCCGGCTGGGCCCTGGGCTCTCGTCAGCTGTCCTTGGTGGCAGGCAGGGCCTACAGAGAAGGCGCCCCTGTGCTGGCCCTCGGGTGCTCAGCCCCAGGGCTCTGGGTGGCCCCAGCCCTTCCAGCAGGAGTCTCACTGTGCACCTTGGCATCTGGGAGCCCCTGGGACAGTCAGACCGTGGAGGGGCTGGCGGGGCGCCTGGCCGCAGCGTCCATCCAGGCCGAGGTCTGTGCTGGCTCGGCCTCCATGGACTCCGCTCCCTGCACAGGTCTGCATCAGTGGGGACCACACCTGCCTCCGCCGCTGGTGGGGGTCTTTGTTGCCATGGGAGTAGCATCAGAGCTGCATGTGCTACTTCCTGGTGCCCCAAAGGGCAGATACCCCAGCAGGGGTGGGCTGACTGCACCTCTCAGCCCTGTGCCCTCCTACAGTGCGCCCTCGGCTTGGGCCTTGCCCTGCCCCGCCCCTCCCTTCTCCCCCCCTCCCTCGTCTCCCCCACCTTGTCTCCCCCATCTGGCCTCCCCCCGTCCCGCTCGGTCTCACCTGCCCTGCCCCTCTCGTGGGAGGGGCACCTCAGGTCCTCTCAGCTGTGCTGCCCCAGGGCTCCCGGCAGCCGTGTGGCCGACGGGTGGCCCATGGGGGGGCGGAGTGCTGACGGACCAGGGCTTGCCCGCCTCCATCTCAGGCCAGCTCGGGCCCCCTTCTGTCCTGCCTGTTTTCCCCCTCGGTGAGCTCCCTGTGTGCCCTGCTCACGTGCCTGGACTTGGGTGTGGTGGCCTGAGGGGTGCCAACCTCGCCGGCTGCGTGCTCTGCGTGGGGGGTGCAGAGCGGGCACTTTTGCCCTTGCCCGGTGCGCCAGCAGGAGGCCTGAGGGCTGGGTTGGCCCCTGGCGTGGTTCCATCTAAGGGGTCACCGTCGGCTGCAAGCAGGCGAGGGCTGGTCTCCCCAGATCCCTCCAGGTCCCCAGAGTTCTAAACCCTGTGTCTGGGAGGGAGGGCCCCGCCTCACCTGCAGCTCTGCTCGCCACAGGCACTGGGCCCAGCAGGAGACCAACCACACTGTGGCCGCCGGCGCTGGCGCCGTGAAGCAGATGTCGGAGCTGCTGCGGGGCTGCTCCCGGGTATGTCCCCCGGGCCTCGAGGGGGCAGCGGTGGGGGCCAACTCGTGTGAGCGTGGTGCTCAGACGGGTCTGGGTGCAGGCGGTGCCGAGGAGGAGGGTCTTGCCTGGCCTCTGAGCCTGGCTGCCCAGGTGCAGAGCCGCAGCCTCAGCTGCAGGGGGCACCGTGAGGCGCGGGCACCGCCTGGTGCCTCGGAAAGGCCCTGCTGGGAACCGGTCTCGCCGGTGTGCGTGGCAGTCGGTGTGTGGTGGTGAGGGACCAAGTGCACGTCGGAGCTGCATGGAAGCCCCCCAGGCTGGGTGGGCTTGTCCGTGACGGGACACGGGGTGGGGAGTGGCCTGACCATCCAGGGAGCCGGCGGGAGGCGTGGGGCAGGAGGGCACCAGGAGTGCCCGTAGTGGTCTTCGTCCCAGGGCACCGAGGCGGCGTGGCTTCGTCTGTGCTGCTGCTGTGTGGGGGAGGGGAGGGCCGGCTCGGTGGCCTGGGGTGGCCCTGGCCCAGCAGAGTGGGCGGTCCCAGGCTGCAGTGCTGGCTTGTCCGCTCCTGCGTGCGGCGGTATGTCTGGAGTGCCTGCTCCAGGCCAGGCTGGAGTCCGGTGGGGGGGCAGAGGCCGTGTGCCAGGGCTGGGGGCAGTGGGCAGTGTGGTCCCAGGAGCAGCAGCATGGAGCGGTGAGGCGTGTGGGCCCTGTGGGGTGTGGCCTTGAGCGGGCCATGTCGGGCCGGGCTGGGTCTCCTCAGCTGTCCGATGGGGTCGGCACGCTTCTCTCCAGCGCGGATTGTTTGGGGGACCAGGAGGCTGTGCTGGTCACAGCAGCGCTGGCTGGCTCCGAGGTCAGGGTGGGGGACTGTGTGGGTGGGGCGGTGGTGGTGTCTGCGGTGACGCGGGCTCTGCGGTGGAGCCCGTGTCAGCATTTGAGGGGGTGGCGGTGATGGCAGGCGGGGGCGGGCCTGGTGCAGGCACTGCCGGGGGCACAGTGGGGGGCTGGGGCCCTGGAGGTGGGTGCAGTGCAGGCACCTCGGGCCTGTTTCCGCCGCTCTCTCTGCAGCAGGAGCGCCTTCAGCTGGACCGCCTGAGGACTCAGCTCTCGGAGGCCATTCAGCGCTATGGAGCGGTGCAGAGGGTGAGGCGCTGGCGGTGGCCGGCCAGGCGCCCTCAGGCACGCACTGTGGTGTCTGCTCCCTGGGTTGGGCTGGTACTGCCCCCTCCCCCACAGCCGAGGGAGGACCAGCCTTGTGGGTGTGGGACAGCCTTGGCGGCTGGTGGGGCCCCAGGGAGCGTGCAGGGGAGGGTGGTGGCCTCTGGTGCCACCCAGAAGGCGTTTGCATGGCAGCCCCCTCAGGAGGAGGGAAGCTAGGGGTCACGCCCTCTGGTGGGCAAGGAAACAGACCCAGGGACTCCGTTGCTGGGACAGGACTGTCCCCCAGGGGGTTAGCAGAGCCCGGCCAGGCGCCTGGCTTTCCCAAGGCCCCTGGGTGCTGCCTTCCTCTGGGCGAGGCCACATGCTGCTTCCCGTCCATCGGGCCGTCTCTCCTCTGCTTCTGTGCCGCTGCCGACAGAACATTGCAGAAAGGTCCCAAGCCGTGCTTCCCGCCGCGCAGCCGGGCGGCAGACAGCAGGTGGGTGTGGGGACTTAATGGCGGGCCGGGGGCGTGAGGGGCAGCACAGAGTCCCCCTGGCGCCCCAGGAACGAGCAGGAGGGGCTATAGGCGGGGCGTCTGCTTAGACAGAGGGCCTTTGGGAGAGTGGGCACTGGACCTTGGGCCTCTGGGCTCACTGGACCCCTGGAGCACAGTTCCCTGTGAGTGGAGGCTGGCGGACCCCCAGAGGAGTCTGGTTAGAGCCCTGGGGGAACGAGGGTGGGGGGTTGGTCGGAAGCCACTGGAGGAGGCAGTGGCTGAGAGTCCCCAACACTGGCCGGGTGCTTCACGTCAGGGAGGGAAGAACCCTTGTGACGAAGAGGATACATTTATCTTGTCTCTTAAAAACCACCTTTAAGAGGCCCACTTTCACTCACATCATCAGAGCGTTTTGGGTAAGAAAGCTGAAGATAAAATCTCGAGGGCTGAGGGAAGCCTGAGAAGAACGTCTCGTGATTTCTAAAGGAGTAGTAAGACTCGATCTGACTTCCTCCGAGAGCCGAGGGCAGCGGTGGGCGGTGGGAAGGCGCCATAGTGCCTCAGAGAAGGTGGCTGCCGCACGTGTGGGGTGCACCGGTGCCGCCGAGACCACCGCCCATTCGTGCCATGCTGTGGGGAGGCCCTCAGTCCCTCACAGCAGCCCCTGGACACGCACGTCAGCACAGTGCCCCCTGGGCTCGGAGGCTGTGTTTCCAGAGGACTTTTCAAAGGAGAGAGCAGCCAGCGGTGCTTGGGAGAAATTGCAGATGATTGGACGGCTTTAAAGGCCGCTGTCTGCGGGGTGGGGGGTCCTGGCAGTGCCTGCCGCCTGCGTCGTCCTCTGAGCCCCTGCTGGGTGGCTGGGAGCCGCCCGCCTGTCTGCAGTGGGCCGTCTTGGCCATGGCGGCTGCAGCCCCAGCTGGGTCCCGGTGCGCCTGGGCTGGCTCCTGCCCTGTGCTCAGTGCGGCAGTGAAGAGGCACCTCGCCCCTTGGGCAGCTGGAAGTTTCCTGCCCGGCCCCCACCCAGGAGAGCTGCCCCTTGCTCCTGGGCCCAGCTCCCCTCTTCCATATGGGGGCGGGGGCATGGCCATGCCAGTTCTGGCTGCCTGGCTCTGATAAGTCTCCAGAAACTTCCATCAGGTAGTAAGTGGAGTCATGACGGCTTGAGAGGCTGGTGATCAGCTCGGCTGCTGGACGGAGGCTGTTTCTCCAGTGTGTGACTGGCCCGTGCCCTAACCCTGCTCTCCGCCCCAAGGTTGTGGATGCCCCCCCGCCCCCCGCAGAGTCCGGGGTTGGAGCCCTGGAGGAGGTGGCCTGCTTCCTGGGGTGGGGTGTCGTCCCAGGCTCCAGGGATGACCCCCAGGGCTTCGTCTTTCTCACGGGAAAGTGCTCACTGCCCGGCCCCTCTGCCGAGTCACGTTGGGCTGTGGGTTTCCTTTCTACGTGTCAGGATGGGCCCCAGCCCCTGGGCCTGGAAGGAGGAGAAAGCAGCCTTTGTGGGCGCCTCTGAGCTGGACAGGCATCACAGGGCGGCCCCCGCGCCGGCCCCTGCGCAGTGCCAGCGAACCGCTGGTGGCAGACCCAGACTGGGCCTTTGTGAGGAGGACAAAGGGGTGCTTTCTGGTCCTCTCGGGAGGGAGGGGCTGAGGCCAGGTCAGGTGGCTCAGCCACCTCTTCCTGCCCTGTCTCTCATCACGGGCTGCTGGGGAGGGTGGCCTGGCAGCATTTGTGCAGCAGGGTGGGCTTGTGGGGTCCCAGTCACCCCACGTCTGCACCACAGCCTTGGCCTTGGGGTGAAGGTCTGGATCCCAGCCTGCAGGTGAGGAAGCCGAGGCCTGGCGGCTACGGCTGGAGCTGCCGGCAGGGCCAGGCTGCAGCTTTGGAAGGGGCTGGACCACCAGGGCCCACTCAGCTCACTTCCGCCTGCCCACCCCTGGAGCGGGGTGTTAACTGCCGCCAGCGCAGGAGTGCTTGTCAATGGGGTTTTCAGATCTTTAATTTTACACGCGTCTATTTATGATTTTGTTTATTTAAAGGCCTCTGCTGACTGGGGGAGGAGGTCCCGCCCCTGGCACCATGTATTCAGGGGGCGGGTCCAGGCTAGTGTGGCTTCTCCGCCCCCACCCTTCCTGGGCTGCATCAGCCACCCTGTCACCGACTGTGGGCGGCGTGACCACCTGCGGAGCCGTGGGCAACGTCACGGAAGGCGCTGCTTGCGTCACGCCTTGTCCCCGCCCTGGTGCCTGGCTGCCTGGCTGCCATCGCTGCTGGGGCCTCCTGCAGGGGTTGCTGGGACATGCCGGCGTTTTCCAGAGGGTCCCCAGTGCCCGCCGGCGGGTTCCTTGGTCTCTGTGCCCAGCTCAGTGTGTCTGCTGCTCTTCCCCGCCCCCGGCACGGGGCAGGCCGTCACGGCCCCCACACATGTGCTGGGGAGGACTCAAGCCTCGGAATTATGTTCTCCCGGAGGGCCTGTGGCTGTGGCCGGACCCATGGGGGTGGGGGTCTGCCAGGGCACAGGTGTGGTCCTGGAACTGCCACTCACGAGACACGTGCTCTTGGGCTTTGTGGGGCCCCGCAGTCCCCTGGAGTTACCACCCTAGAAGGCTGGGGACATGGAGGTGGCTCGGTAGGGTCTCCTGTGTGGCCCTGGCTGCAGCTGGGCTGTGGATCCCACTGTTCCCCCTCAGCCAGGCCTGGGGCGACCCAGGCCTGATCCCTGTCCACCATTTACAGCAGCCCAGTGCCCGGGGCCCAGCGGGCATGTCCCCTGAGCAACAGGCCTGCCACCCCCTGTGGCTGCAGAGCCCGGGCTGGGCCTGTGCTCCCCTGGCCGGGGGGCTGGCGGGGTTGGGGTGGGGAGCACACAGACTTTGGGGGCTCCTGGCACTGTGAGCTGATGCCGGCCTCGAGGTGGGGCTGCGGGCCTCTGGCCTGGGCTGGAGAGGTGGCCCAGGGGCCCTGAGGCGCAGCAGGGGAGCCGGCCTGTCTGTCGTCAACAGAGCCCCCAGGCCCCTTTGGCGGAACCGGCCGACCCGAAGCTCTGGCACGAGGACGGCTGTGTGTGGCAGGGCCAGGAGCAGGCACCGTGCCCCGAGGTCACCGAAGACTGGGAGGCCACGCGGCTGCGTGAGGAGGCCGTCTTGCAGATCGAGGTGAGCACCTGTGCACGCGTGTGTGCGTGCACCTGCGTGCATGTGTGTGCGTGTGCTCCCAAACCCCCCAGTGTGGTGACCCAGCTCTCCAGGGCCAGCTGGGCCGGTGCTGCTCTGGAGATGCCCACCTTGGGCCCCGCCCTCGAGCCCCACCCCCACACCCCAGCTAGCCCCCCGGGGAGACAGGCCACCCCTCTTGCTGCCGGATCTTAGGTTGGGAGTGGGTGCAGGACATGGGGGACCGATGGGGAGCAAGGAGGTGTCTGGGCCCCTGATTAAGTCACGTCCAGAGGCTGCTTACACGCCCACCGCGGGCCAGTAGGTGGCCGAGAGGTGGCAGCTCTGTCCCCCAGCCTGTGTGCGCTGCCCCTGAGCAGACGTGCGTCCACCGCAGCCGCACTGAAGCCGCACCGAAGCCTGGCCCTGCCTGGGGCCTGTCTGGCGGCCGTGTGTCCTCCGTCCCGTGGCCACTGCAGCTGCGTGTGCGGGGCTGGGCGGGGCCTGGGGCCTGTGCCGCACGTCCCAGCCTGCTGTTGGACCCCCTCTCGCGTCGTCCACCTTTGTCCGCACGCACAGAGGCCATGGAGGCCTGTCTGTCACTGCCGGGTCCCCGAAGTGACAGGTCCACGCAGGCCGTGTCCTGCGTGCGCTCAGCTGTGCTTCGGGCCGGGCTGGTTGACGCGGGAGCAGGGCCGGCCCGGCTCTGGTGCTCCGACACTGGCCCCTGGCTGGCCTCTGTCCCAGGTGGTGAAGATGTAGGAGGTCACTGAGGTCACCACGCGGCAGTGGCAGCGCCAGCTCTGTCCTCATGGCGGTGACTTCACCTGGCTGAGGTTGCCCTCCCAATGTGCAGGGTGGGCCAGGGCAGGGCCCCTCCCACTGGGGCAGGGGAGGGCGGCCACGCCACTCACTTGCCAGGCACTGGTGTGGCCTGTGGAGCTGGGACCGGAGTCAGCTGTCCACCTCCAGCTGGGTCTGTGCCAGGCTGCTCCTGCCCATCACACCTGACCTCCCCTCCAGGTGCAGAGCTCAGAGCACTGGCTGCTGTTGTCATGGCTACCTGGCAGGCCTCGGAGGGAGGAGGCTGGGGCTGATCCCTCCCGTAGGTGGGGCGTGCAGCCACAGCGCCGGGCAGTTGGCTGGGCTCATGTCTCACTGCGTGGACACTGAGTAAAAACCGACACACGAGTGTGGCTGTCTGGTTATGGAACCGATGCCTCGGTAGGTGGGTGGTTGTGAGGAGGGGCTTCGAGATGCGGAAAATGCAGCGGCATTGCTGACCCCCCTTGTCCCTCATGAGGCTGTCACCCCACGGTGCCCATGGGGTGCAGAGCAGGTTCTGGGGGGCTCGTAGTGAGCGCTGGTGTCGCAGGCGGTCGGGAAAACAGCAGCCGCTTCCACATCTGCTGAGTGGAGGTGTCTCAGCCTCGCCCCTCACCCTCACTGCCCACGTTCCGGGAACTCAGACCCCTGCGCAGGCTCCGTCTCTGCAGGGCCCAGCGGGCCCCACCTGTGGCCCGGTGGGACCCAGATCTCTGGGCACCCTGCAGGCGGGCCCGGGACTCAGGCCCCACCGCTGGTCCTCAGTGGCCTTGTCAGGAGCTGAGGCTTGGCCCCTAGGTGCCCGGAGGTGACCGGAGGGACACTTATTCATGCTGCCACCTGTGCCCTGATGCTCCCACACCGTGCGGCCCACTGCTAGTGAGGCAGCCTGTCTGTGCTCCTTCCCGGGGTCCCCCTTCTGCAGACCTGCCTCCCACTGCTTGTCCCAGACCCGTCCTGCTGGGAGCTGGGGGCCGGGGGTGGGGAGCCGGGTGTTGCCATCAGCGAGTCTGCAGTGTGGAAGGTCACCTTGGCCCCCGAGGGGACCTCTCCTGAGGCCCAGGACAGAAGTCAGGCTGGGACACTGCGCCGTGTCTGGGCCGCCCCAGGCTACTGGGTCAGCACTGCTCTGGACAGCGGACACCCAGGACACTGGCTGGGCATTGGCGCTGAGGCCCGGCCTCTGGATGGGCTTTGGTGCCCACAGGTGGACCGGACCGTGCCTGGGCCATGCTGCATGACCTAGGAGCGGCCACCCAGGTGACCCAGAGGGGCAGAGTCTGGCGCTGTGACCTGAGTCAGTTCCGTCAGCCTCAGGTGTGAGCGCTGTGCGTCCTCGGGAGAGCCCCTCTGCTGTCCCTCCACGAAGCCCCCCACGGGCTGCGGCCGGTGGGCTCGCCCATGGCGCGGGCAGACAGAGGCTGCCTGGCGGGAGGGCCCCTGTCCCTGCGGCTGTGCGGTCCTGCACCCACCCGTCTGCGGCAGCCCCAGAGCCCGCACCTGGGGGCCCCACCCTGGCCACCGCCTTCCCAGCCTCGGGCCCCAGTCTGGCGGAGTGAAGCCCAGTAATTGAATTACAAGTGATAGCGTGTGTTGGCTTAAGATCACACTAATTGCTTCATTTCCCAGAACACTCCTAAAAAGAAAATGAGTTTCCCTGTAACATTTTGCGTGGGGTGAAGTGACCCTGTGGAAATCAGCCCAGGCTCCAGAATGAGCTGCAAGGTCAGGGCGGGGGTGGGGGAAGGGCTTGCCCGTGTGCATGGTGCGGCCGCCGTTCTGACGGGCGGCAGTGCTGCTCCGCCGGCAGGTGGAGGGAGATGGAGTCGGACAGCACGGGAGATGCCAGGGGCCAGCATGGCAGGTGGGGCGGGGGCACCCCTGATCCAGGGTCTGCTCCTTACGACGCTTCACCAGCGAATTCATGGGGCCACTCGGTGTTGGGGCAGCAGTGGGGCTACTGTCCAGCGTCCATCCGTCCGCCCACCCACCACCTGTCTACTCCCCTTCCGACCCCGGGACTCCTGAGCGGCACCTGGCGGCGGCCTGTGTGCGGTGCCAGGTGCCTGGAGGGGAGAGCTAGGGCTCCGTCAAGGGGCTGTGGTCGAGGACCGGTGGGGGGCGTCTGCGGGGCTGGTGGGCACACAGCCTTTTCTTTCCTGAGCATGGGGCTGCAGGACGACGCAGGGGCCCGGGCCAGGACTGTGACCTTCTGGGGGCCGACCCAGCTCCTTGGTACCCAGTGGGGAGCTTGAGGCTCTGGGTCCATGGAGAGTTGGGGTTGGCATTGGGGTCCGGAGGCAGAGTTCAGATCCCAGCCCCGTCTCTGACTCTCAGGGTGACCTCGGACCATCCCTGGTTATTGGCTCTCACCCTCCCCGATGGCCATGCCCTTGGCCACAGCCCCCGCAGCCCCAGGCACCTGAGGACCGCCGTCTTGTTCCCACAGAGCGACCTGCTGGATGTGAGCCAGATCCTCAAGGACTTGGCCTCCCTGGTGTCGGAGCAAGGAGAGGCCATTGGTGGGTACCCGCTGCCCGTGCCCCTGCTCCCCACCCTCCAGCCCTCTCTCTGGGGTGGGCAGGGCCGCCTCCCGGATGAGAAAGGCCCAGGGCGGGTCCCGGAGGCCTGAGTGCTGGCTGCCTCACTCCCCGGCTCCCCAGCCTCCCACTCCTAGGCGGGCCAGGGCGGGGGAGGCTCATGCAAGAAGGTGGCCTCCATGCCCCCCCCCCGGGCCTTCCTCACCCCAGGACTCTGCGGAGTGGGCAGGCTGTCCATCCTGGGGAGGCCTGTTCCTCAGCGGTGCCCTGAGGGGCGAGGGGGGGACGTCAGGCTGCTCCAGGGCCCCGGCTCCGCTGTTGGTGGCCACGTCTTGGACCAGGGGTGTGGTGGGGAAGAGCTGTGCCGGGAGGGCGGACATCCCTGCTGTTTTCAGCTGTCTCCCCATGAGCCCCACCCAGCCTGGCCTGTCCACCCCCTCTGGGCACTCTGGTGGTGTTTTCAGCTGCTGCCCCCGGTGCCAAAGGCCCTGAGCCAACACAGCCCCCAGGCAGGACGCGGGGGTTCGCCCACCCTCCTCTGTGCCTGCTCCTTGGCCCTGCTGATGCCCCCTGGGAGCCCTGGGCTGTGCAGGAGCCCCGCCCCCGCCGTGAGGGGTGAATGGAGTGGGCGAGCCACGCTGCCCTGAGCCACAGTCCCTGTTCCTCTGGAGCCTGTGCTTCCAGCAGGGCCTGCATAGCCAGCCGGGCCCTGGCTGCCCTCGGGTGCCCTCTGCACAGCACCTGCCCTGTCTCCACATCCTCCCAGCCACTCGCCCCTATGGGTCTCAGGGTGTGGTTGTAGCCATTTCTGCTTCTGGCTGACTGGGACAGTGGGTTTGCTGAGTGGTGTGTCCACTCCAGATGGACACTTGGATGCCACCCATGTGGCCACCCAGTCCCAGCGTCGGGCAGATCTGAGGGTTGGTCTCTGGACTTGGGAGGGGGAGAGGGCAGTGAGCGCTGACCTGCGGCACCTGTGGCCAGGGCCCAGGGACGGGTGGGTGCCGGGACCCGGGACTCTGTGACCCTGGGGCCCTGCTCTGTGCTGATGTGCCGTTCCAGTTGTGACAGGTGGGCGCCGGGCCACAGCCTGGTGGTGCTGTGCCCTCCACCGCCTGCCCCAGCTGTGCCCTGGCTGGCCCCTCAGCCTCTGGTGCCTTTCCAGGGCCCAGCAGTGGCACGGCCACCTGCCGGCAGAGCCACGGCCCCGAGCCGGCCGCGGCAGCCTTGGTGTCCGGGCAGGGCTGTGCGGCCCTGCGGCCAGGCCCCCACCCTTGCACTGGGACCCACAAGCCCAACTTTAGCCCCCAGGAGACGGAGGTGCTGGTGCAGCGGGTGACGGGCCACCACCCGCTGCCGTTCGGCGCGGCAAGGCCCACCCGCCCGGAAGCACCGTGTGCGGAGCTGGATCTTGCAGGCGAGAATGCGCCGGGCTGCTTGCTGGCAGCGGGGCCTGGGCGACCTCAAGCACGAGTGGCGGGACCTGCGGGGGCTGGTGCGCATGAGGCTGGCGGAGTGCCCGCCTGCACCCGGCCTCGTCCTCACGCCCATGGGGTGCGTGGTGGCCGAGTCCTTCTCATCTGCAGTCCCCCCAGGTGAGGGCCCAGCCCGAGAGCCCCCGCCCAGTACGTGGGTCCTCCCTACCACGGCCGGTGTCTCCAGGGCGTAATCACGAGAGCAGGGCCCCCAGGAGGTGTGAGGCCCTGGGGATGTGATATGCTCAGCCCTCTCTGCCTCCAGGTGCGCACCCAGGCTCAGGCCAGGGCTGCACCTGCTCCTCTTGGCAGTGAAGGGGCTTGGGGTCAAAGTCAGGTTCATTCTGGTCCCGAGCTTCGCTCCTTCTGGGTTTGTTTCACCAGGATGTGGTGCAGCCAGAGGCCTCCCGGGACCTCAGGACCCACACATGGCCTGGGCAGCGGGGCCGTTTCCACCCTCCCTGGCCCAGCCGGCCCCTCCTGCGCCCACCTCGCACCTGCCCTGAGCAGGGAGGGGGTGAGGGTGATAGTCTCCTTGTGGCCCCTTCCTGCGCTGCCCCTGGGGCTCCTCTCTGGGGATCTCTCAGGCCCTGGCCAGGCCAGGGTGGCTCCCAGAGCGCAGGGCACGCTCACCCACCCCTGAGCCCAGGGGCCCACCTCCAGGGCCCACCTTTGCTGGAAGTTTCTGTGCCTGATGAGGAGGGAATAGGGCACTTGGCTGGACATTTCCGCTGCACACAGCTGCCTCGGGCACCCTTCTGCCGCCGCCTCCTGCCCTGTCCTCCTCAAGACGGCCTCTGAGTGTCCCCTCAGTCAGGACACCTTTGCTGCTGTCCGTCCCCAGCTGGTGGCTGCACCTCCTCCGCAGGGCGCTTTCCTTCCGGGGAGCTGGAGGCAAAGTTCCGGAGAAGAAACTTTGGGGGATGAAGCCAGAAGCAGGACCAGCTCCCTCTGGAGGACCTCGGAGGGGACAGCAGAACTCTGCCTCGTGGGGACACGCAGGCACCGTGCCCAGACCAGGGGCGGGCGCACATGACGGGTGCTCTGCATTTCTGGGCTGGCGTCGGCGATGGGGCAGGCCTTCCTGTGGGCAGAGCCAGAACTGGCTTTGGGGTGCTGCAGGTGGGGTGGCATCCTGGGGGTTCAGGAGGGGCTGGCAGTGTGGCACTGGTGTCGCCTCGGTGCTCTGGCACTCCCCTGTGCCCAGCCTGGGCTGCATGGAGGGGTCCACGTCCCCACAGAGCTGCCCTGGCCAACCTGGGACCTTCCAGAGGCCTGAAAGCAGTGGCCTGGGGCTGGTGAGGCACCAGACGGTCACGGGACCTGCCGGCACTGCCCCCGCCCACCTGGCAGCCCCTGGGGCTCAGGAGGAGGGCACCAGGGAGCTGGCCTGTGGGTGGAGCTCTGTCTGACGTGTGCAGGCTGAGGTCTCCCAGGGCGAAGCACTTGACCGGCAGCCAGGGTGCTCACCCCCAGTCAGCGTCTGGACGCCCAGGGTCAGTGTGGAGTGTGTTCAAGACCAGCCGTGGTGGCTCTGTCAGATGCTTGGGACAGGGCCACCCTGTTTCAGAGGCTGAGGCCTGGCTGGCAGTGGGGCCGCCCAAGGGCGCAGAACCCTAACAGCTGGAACCCTAACAGCTGGCTTCCACCCTTTTCTGAGCGGGCCCCTTTGCCCCGAGGGCCGCTGTCGGGCCCTTGTCCTCGTGGCTGGGGCCAGCCACCACCTGCACCAGGCGGACCACCTGGTGCATCTCTGCCACCTCTGCCTCTGGGGAGGCGGGACTCCTCACCTGGACCTCTGTGGCCTTGGAGGGGAGATGCCGCCACTCCCCTCCTGCACCCCACCCTCAGCCCCACTCAGTAATCACTCTCGTTGTCTTGGTTTGCAGATAGCATTGAAGCCAGCCTCGAGGCTGCGTCCGCGCACACAGAGGCCGCCAGCGAGCTCCTGGCTGGGGCCAGCCGGCACCAAGTAAGTCAGTGAGGGGGTAAAGCCTGTGGCCCTTGGCCCCCTCTCGTGCGCTGTCCCCAGAAGGCCCAGGCCCTGGCCTCTCCCGAGAGGGGCACACCCAGAGGGCCTTTTCAGAGCCCAGGAGGACTGGTGTGGGGGAGGGGGAGGAAGAGGCGGAGGGGTCTTCGCCTCCAGGGGGCTTGCTCGGCCTCCTCCGAGTGTACCCGCCCAGTGAGCGGGAGCCGAAGGGCAAGGAGCACCCGGCGAGCAGAGCAGCACCCGCCTGGGAGCCCCCCACGCTCGCCGAACTGCCCCAGCAGAAAGCTTGCTGGCTTCTGCATTTTCCTGAGAGGGGCAAGCTGGGTCCGGGGGTGCTGGCTTCCTGAAGGTGCAGACTTCTGCTGCCCCCGCCGTGCGTCTGCCCCTGACCGGGCCCACCCTGGGGATAGCAGTGCTTTGCTTGGAACGAGGCGTCTGGCTCAGGGCACGTGAGAACGTGTATCATTCATCTGGCCCCTCAGGCCCGGCCGAGGCAGCCTCGGGGGCTGACCGCCAGACGCTGCTCTGCCCTTTCCTGCTGGGGGGCGCCCAGCAGCCGTCCTCCACCGGCCCCTCCGCTGCTCTCGGGCCCTGCTTCTTGCTGGGCTCCAACATACAGCTCTGGGCCCCTCGAGGGGTGTGTGTCTAGGGGCGGGGAGGGTGGACATCGGGTCCAGGGACGAGAGGGCCCCGCAGCAGCTGGGAAAGGCAGGGCTTTCTGGGAAAGTGCGCGCTCGTCCTGGCAGCTGGGGACAGTACGCACAGAGGCAGTGGGGGGGGCTGTCCAGGCGGGCTCAGGACACTGCAGGCCAGAGTGGACAGCTGGGTGGGGCGCCGAACCTCCCCCAGGCCAGTCTGGGGGAGCCACGTCCACACCTGGGCTCAGAAGCTCGTCGGGGGTGTGGAGTGGGAGCGGCTGGAGACCCTTCAGGAGCAGCCGGGGGAGGCCAGACGGCGTGATGTCGTGTCTGTGACAGGTTGAGGGGGAGTGACCCTTAACCCGGTGCCATGCACCTGACAGAACCGCCTTTCAAGACAAAAATGCAGACATTTCTGTACAAGCGAACTCTTTGAGGGCTTATCACCCGGACCTGCTCCCTGGGAGAGTTTCTGGAGGCTGCGCCTTGGGCTGGAGAAGAGCACCGGGGGGAGACCGGTCACTCAAGGACAGCGCTGTGGGCCAGTCCAGGGTGACCGCGTGCAGTTACTGTGCTGTTAGGACGAGTTGTGGTCCTGAACCTAATGTCTGATCTGGGGGCGAGGTCTCAGAGAGGACAGATGCCCGCGTGGGGGGAGGTGCTGCTGTCATTTGTGGGGAACCTCCATGCGCATGAAGTTCAGCGTTTGTTATTCCCACGCACGGGGAGAACGCAGGGGTTCCTCCATCAGCAGGAAAACTTCGCTCTGCAGAAGGCCCGTCAAGGGGGAGAGAACACAGGCCTCTCACGGGAAGGAAACCTTCGCACGCGGCGTGTCCGGCGGAGGGCTTGCGTCCTGACTGTGTGCAGAGCTCTGTAAAGGCAGCGGCAGGAACACAGTTCATTTAGAAAAAGGACAAAGAATTCGAGCCGACACTTCACCAGAGCAGGTCTGTGGGCCACAGATACGCACCGCACCACGCACCAGATGTCCGGCGTCACCAGCCATTGGAGCGGCTGGCGTTTCACAAGCCAGCCCGCGGCCCAGGACGGGACGGGGCCGTTCTCACTGCGCCCGCCTCGCTGCTCACCCGCGGCGTGCCTGGGTGTTTGTCCCAGGGAAATGGCCAGCCCGTGCAGAAACGCTCGTCACCCCCTGTGTGCAATAACCCCAACCGGAAGTCACCCAGGTGCCCTTTGGGGGTGCAGGCTTGCACCCCGCAGCATTCACACCTCGGGGTCCTGCTCTGCATCCAGCGAGGCTGGGCGGACCTGTGGGCTCCGGGGGCGTTCTGCTGAGTGGAGACGCCAGTTTCAAAGGTCACAGCTGTGTGACCACCACGTGGAACACCCTCGAAGTGACGGACATGTGGAGATGGGAGACGGGCTGGTGGAGTGAGCAAGGGGTCGCTGCCACTCACGGCGGTCCGTGGTCCCTGGGGTTTACTCTGTGACAAAGCCTCACAGACTAGGCACACAGACAAGAAACCCGTTTTTTTTGAAACAATCAAGCTGGGGCGAGGGTGGCCCCTGAGAGCAGTGTGGGGGTCTGTGACTTTCCAGGCAGTAAAGAGGGGTCAGAGTGCCATCAAACCAAGGTTCTTACTGAGTAAAAACAGGAAGGACACAAGAGAAGCTGAAATAACACGGAAGACAAATAGGACGAATGGGGGACGGCAGGCAAGCTTTTGGAGCCGTGCCTGGTCACCTAAGTAACAGGTCGGAAGAGCCACGGGTGTCAGGGTTTGGTGTCACGGTTTGGGATCAGAAGAAACAAGGGGTATTTGCGTCCATCAGACATGCACTGACGCGTAAAGCCGTGGGAGGGGCACGTGGAGGGGAAAGGAACGATGCCGGAGGGAGCTGGGTAGCAGCGCCGCTGCGGGCAGGCAGACTCCGCAGCCAGGCCGAGCGCGCTGCGTGAATGGGATCAGGAGGAGTCATCGCACCAGTGGGCGCTCGCCGGGTGGACGGGAGCCCTGCTCTGGGACACACGTGATGAGGCAGCTCGGATTCGGTGCACACGGCAGGGGGAGCCCCTCGTGGGAGCAGCAGGCTTGGACACGGGTGCGAGGACAGGAAATCAGGAAGAGATCGGCAGTAGCTGGAGCTTGGCCGGCACGGCAGACGCTCCGGAGCCCTGATGTTGGGCGTGGCGCCTGGACGCTGACGCGTCTCCTCAAAGTGGTCTTTCAATTGCAGCCGACATACAATGCTGTTTTGGCCTCAGACGGACCACGCAGTGACTGGACACTCATGTAAGTTACACAGTGATTCCCACACTTAACCTGGAACCCCTCTGACGTGCTACATGGTCCTCACAGGTTGTTGGCTGTGCTCCCTCCGCTGTGTTTGACATCCCTTTATTTTAGTTATTTTTTAAATACGTTATTTAGTTTTGGAGAGAGAGGAAGGGAGGGAGAAAGAGGGAGAGAAGCATCAATGTGTGGTTGCCTCTCATGTGGCCCACAACTCAGGCATGTGCCCTGACTGGGAATCAAACCGCAACCCTTTGGTTTGCAGCCTGCGCTCAATCCACTGAGCCACACCAGCCAGGGCGCTGTCAGTGTTTTGACCACCAGCGCGAACCCCCTTATCCCTCCCCTTTCTCACCGCCCCGCCTGGCCCCACTGGGAACCACAGTTTGCTCCGTGTCTGGGAGTCTGCTGCTGTCTCGGGTGCTCACTTTGTAGACTCCACGTGTGAGCGCAGGAGTCCCACCCGTGTCTCTCTGACCGACTTCCCTCAGCACGATGCCCCGGGGTCCGCCCCGCTGGCGCGGACGGCAGAATCTCCCTCTCCCCGTTGCCGAGCGGTGTCCTGCCGGACCGCGCACCCCTCGTGTTTTGCCCACTGGTCTGGTGACGGGCCCTTCGCCGCTTCCGTGTCTAGGTTCCTGTACATGGCACTGCGGTGGACAGGTGTGTGCGCGTGTCTTTCCGAATCTACGTTCTCGGTTTCTCCGGACGGACACCCAGACCGGGGACTGCTGGGCTCTTGGTCTCATTGTCGCCTTTGTTTCGAAGTCCGTCTTTGTCTGGTGCTAGTGTTGCTGCGCAGCTTTTTAAAACTCCCTGTTTTCGTGGGGCATCTTCTTCCGTCTGTCACTTGCTGTCTGTGCCCTTCACCTGACGCAAGTCTCCGGTGGAGACAGACCCCTGCAGGCCTGTGTAGGGGTCTTGTGTTCTTCGCCATTCAGCCACTGAATGTCTCCTGATTGGATCGTTTATTCCACTTCCATTTCGAGTAATTGTTGACAGGTACGTAGTTATCGCCATTCTATGATTTCTATCTGTTATTTCTTCTTGTCTTTAAAGTAGCCCCTTTAACATTTTTTTGCAATGCTGGCTTGGTGGTGGTGAACTCCTTCAGCTTTTTCTTGTCTGGGGTGGATATTTACAAGGTCTGATTGTGACTTGGGTCATGAGACCAGTGTCACTGGTGTTCAGAGCTTCGGAGAACTAGGGAGGCAGGACACAATGCAGGTAGAGAAATGTCACCGTTTGATACCAGCAGCAAAAAAAATAAAAAAGCATCTTGTGCATGTGGGAATTCAAACCTGGTTCCGGAGAATCCAGAGGTCTCAGAAGAAGGCGTTACCGATGCGACAAAGGCGGGAGTGAAGCACAGTGAGGACACCACACTCGCATCCGCCGCGTCCTTCAGAGGAAACTGCAGCTTTGCACGCCTGCACGAAGGGGGAGCAAGCCTGAGAACGAATGCTTTGAGATGTTAAAAAGATAAAAGTAAAGCACTATAGAATCAACCCAGAGAAATCAGCAAGAAGACACGAGACGCAGAGCAGAATTCGGGGGTTTGTAACCATCTCCACAGAGCCGAAGGCGGCTGCTTCGGAAACGCTGTGCAAACCCGACAGCCACTCGGAGTGTGACCCAGGAGGAGGAGAGCAGGAACTCCACAAACAGTGGGAGTTCTAGGAACAGGTTTATGCCAACAAAGTTGGACACTTAGGGACAAGGTGGACAGGGTCCTGGGAAAGTACAACTCGGTACCTTCTGAGCATCTGGCCCCCCCACTGCCCCGCCTGGCATCAGAGAGGTGGAGTCTGGTCTGTGGGGAGCGCTCTGTCTAGTGGGCATGGAAACCAAAGACCCCAGGGTCTTGGAGTGCGTTCTGCCCACCGGCAAGCAGAGGGCCAGTCTGGCACGAACTTTTCTAGACAACTGGAAGGGGAAATTCCTACGTGTGTAACTTGGGGTAAAACGAATGTGCCATGTGCGAAAGGAGCATCACAGGCTGCTGGCCTCACTCTAAATGAAATGTTAGTGAGCTGTGGGGTCACGTGACCAGCCTTGTGGTTTAGCAGGAAGACCCAAAAGTACCGTCCCTCCGTCCCCCCCGCCCCCCGTCCGGGCTGCTGCCAGGCGGACTGGGGCCGTGTGGACTGTGGCCTGGGCCTTCCCGCGTGTGGTCACCACGGTGCCCAGCTCCCAGGGCCGGGAGTCATGTTTGGGAGCAGAAGACCAGTGCCCATCCTGGCCGCCCGCAGGTGCTGCCCCGACGTCAGAGCCCCCCCCCCCCTGCTGGGGAAGGTGAGCCTGTGCTGGTACAGGGGAGGGGCCCGCCTTTTCGTCGGGGAGGCCGGGCCGGTGAGTAAATGGCGACTGCAGTTTGCAGGGCCTGAGACTGTGGCACTTGGGTGCAGTGGATGCTGGGGGGTCCTTCTTGTGACTGAGTTGCTGCAGATCTGTTCTCCTGTCTGCAAAGAAGCGGGTTGTGTCCCAGGGCATATGGGGACAGCTGGTGGGGACGGGAGGGGTGGCCCTGTGTGCACGCGGGCCCCGGAGCTGTGCCCTTACCGCCCGGGCGCGCTCCTTTGCCCAGGAAACCTGAGGCCGAAGAGGTGGGGGCTCGTCCCAGACACGATAGACAGGCGTGGGCACCTGCAGGGGAGACTCGTACTTGTGTGTGCGTGCACCTGGCTGTGCGGGTGTGTTTATTGTGTGTGTGTGTGTGTGTGCACTGCGTGCAGTCGCGTGTGCTGGGTGGGGAGCTGGGTGCTCACCCACCGGTGGTGTTGGGAGAACAGCGAGGGTCGGGCAGCCAAGAGCACAGGCGGACTTCTCAGGGCTGGGGGCCGCTGGGCTACAGGAGGAGGGAGAGGGCTGAGAGGAGGGTGGGGGCCGGGCGTGGGGCGGAGGGGGAGCAGCAACTCCCCAGACGAGGCGTTTGGCCCTGAGCTGGGCCCAGACTAGGCAGCCGGGAGGAAGGGGTGGGACACCACCCACAGTCACTGCCCAGACGCTTATAGGACAAGCCCCTCCGCCCCGGGGTCTTCGGAGGCCCAGACCCTGCTTGCAGGTGCCTCTGGGCTCCCCTGCGGTCCAGGTCTCCTCCTGGGCTGCAGGTTCCATCCCAGATGGGGCTTGTGAGCTCTGTACCAGAAGGGGGCCTGTCCAGGACTCCTGAGCCTGGACACAGGGTGCAGGATGGGGGCTCCCGCAGGGGCTCGGCTGGGGGGCGGCGGTGGAGCAGCGTCTGTGTCGGCCTGGCCCAGGCGCTGAGCCTCGCAGGGCCGGCTGTGCGAGGGCCCGGGCTCAGGGTGAGCGCCTGCCCAGTGTGCGCCCTGCTCTGCTGGCTGGGACCCTGGCCACTCCAGGGGGGTGTGGGGGCTGGGCTGGGAGGGGGAGTTGCCTCCTTCGGAGAGAGGTGACGAGGGGACACCACCCACAGCGGGGTGATCCGGGGATGGGTGTGTGCGTGGGAAGGTCCCTTTGAGGCAGAAACAATGCAGTTTTAAAGTGGTGGGGAATTGGGGCTCATTTTCAGCAGCTGTATGCAAATTGCATGCAAATGAGACTGTTTTCCTTTGAGTTCAGAGAAACAGTGTTCTAGGGACCTGTCAGCCGGCATCTCGTCCTCCTTCCGAGGCTGTGCCCAGTGGGGCGGCCGCTGCCTTCACTCAGCACGGGACTCAGCCCTGCGGCAGAGAGCCTGGGTCCCAAGCCCACCTTGCTGGTGACCCCTGACCCCTCGGGGTGACTTTGAGCACACTGCTCAATCTCTCGGGTCCTCACTTCCCCGTCAGGGTGCTGTCCAGGGGGGCGGCCCCCCAAGGTCATGACAAAGCTGGGGGTAAGCAGCGCCTGCCTAATCTGTGGGGTGGGGAGGAAGTGGGACCCCTTCTCACCTGAGCACTCACAGCCAGCCACCCCCACCCCCAGTCCTCACCTGTGCAGGAGGTGAAGAGGCCCAGAGAGGCTCAGTGACTTGCCTGGGTCACACAGCCAGTGGGGACAGAGCCGGGATGAAAGCCCAGCCGGCCTCCCCTGCCCCCTGCCGCCCATGAATTATTAATCTGACCGCCTTAGGAGACAGAACAGTGTGCCTGTTTACCTCTTGACAGCAGGGCAGAAAAACAGCAAAATTAAACCCAACAGAGGACCCGGGCGTCAGACAAGCTGGCTCTTAAAGTACGTGCCCTGCAGACCGAAGGGTGCGGTGGGCAGCCGGTGGTGGCGCCCGCCCACAGGAGGTGCGGTGCATGTGGGCTGGCCCTCTGACGGGCTGCCGGCCCTTCTCCTGGGCCAGCGGTTCTAGGGTCTGCTGTGTGCTTCTGGAAGGCAGGGCGCGCGGCAGCACCGCCTGGGATGGACAAGCCCGACACCCTAATCGGGGGACCGTGGCCCCCTGAGTGGCTCCCGCCTGTTTGCAGGTGTGTGGCCCGCGGGTGGGAGGCCGTGGGCAGGAAAAGCCACCCGTAGCCACTTCCCAGCCTCCTCGCCCTCAGAGTCCCTTTCTGTCCTTCCTCGATTCCAGTTTTGGGGGATTCAGTTCTCCTTTGGAGCCCCGGCCACAGGGAATCGCCAGCTGCCACGGAGTCCTGGGCAGGTGACCTTAGGCGAGGCCCCTGTGACAGGCTGGGCGTAGGAACAGCAGAGGTCTGACCGTGGGTGGGGGCGGGGTGGATGCCCCTGCAGCTCCTCCCCTGGGCACACCTGACGCTCACCTCCCAGTGTCCCTGGCCTCAGCAGGCCGCCAGGGCACCTGTCCCCAGCATGGGTTTGAGCTTCAGCACCACGGACAGCCCCCTTCCCCCAGCGCCCAGCTGGCTGCCTTGCCCTTCTTTGTTGGACCCTGGGAGTGCTGGTTCGCCCCGGTCTCCCTGCAGGGGCGCGGGGAGAAAGGGGCAGTCCCTGAGGGTGGTCTCGGGGGGCACTGTCCACACGGCTCCAGCCAGAGCCCCTCTGAGGTGCCTGCTGGAGAGGTGGAAGTGGTGACTCGCCTGTGGCTGTGC